CAAACAATAACGGTTTCAAGTTCTCCCCCGCCAGACGTGTGCTGCAGCCGGATTTGACACTATACGGGGAAAGGATTCCCGTCCAGGACCAAGCTCGTTTCCTCGGCGTCATTTTCGACAAAAAACTCACATTCATACCACACATCAAAGACCTTCGTGTGAGGTGCCAGAAAGCGCTAAACGCTTTGAAAGTTCTATCGCATCCGGAGTGAGGCGGGGACTCAAAACACTTTCTCCACTTGTACATCTCCCTTGTCCGGTCCAGGCTTGATTATGGCTGTCAAGTCTACGGATCAGCAAAACCACACATCTTAAAAATGCAAGACCCAATACAGAACCAATGACTCCGCCTCGCTCTGGGGGCTTTCCGCACTTCTCCGGTGGAGAGCCTCCAGGCTGAAGCCAACATACCACCACTCTCACTCAGACGCACACAACTCTCACTACAATACGCAGTTAAACAGAGCTCAACACCGGAAAATCCAGCGCACAACAGCATTTTTAAAACAAACCCAGAAACCATAAACAAATTCCAAAACAACGAAAAACTCATCAAACCCTTCGGCCTCAGAATCCTTGAGGACCTCAAAAACGTACACTTTTCCAAACAAGACATCCAACAAATTCTTTTCCCCGACCTCCCTCCGTGGCACCTCACCAAGGCAAAAGTAGACTTACAACTGACCACGCACAACAAAGAAAGCACAAACACCAAAACTTTTAAAGCAGATTACAAAAAACTAATAGATAAATACCCCGGTGCGGAGCTCATCTTCACGGACGGCTCCAAAAAAGACAATGAAGTGGGCGACGCAGCCCTATCTCCCAACAATACACACCAGAGGAGACTCCATCCTGAAGTCTCAATTTTTACTGCGGAGGCCACTACCATTGACATGGCACTGGACTCTGTAGAAAATTCTCCTAACAAATCTTTCCTTATCCTTTCTGACTCTCTGTCTTGCATCACTTCACTCACAAACTACACACTCTTACACCCAAAAATAGTTAGGCTACAACAGAAAATTCATACACTATCCGAAACAGAAAAAAACATCATGTTTGCATGGATACCCAGCCATGTGGGCATCCGAGGGAACGAGCAGGTAAGACGACCTGGCGAAGAAAGCTTCATCCCTTCTGCTGGGATCAACGACAAACACTCTCCCACAGACTGACTTTAGAAATAAAGTCAAAAAGTACACCTCCAGTCTGTGGGAGAGCCACTGGGAAAAGCAGAACAATAATAAACTATATGAAATAAAAACCCAAACTAGAACAGCGAAATCCTTCGGACCTCTCCAGAAGAGACGAAGTCATTTTTACTCGATTGCGCATCGGGCACACGGCCCTGACCCACAAATACCTCCTACAGGGAGATGAGAAGCCGTTCTGTGTCGGATGCGACACAGATTTTACCATTAGACACATCTTAACAGAATGTCTAGACTTTGGAGAGATCCGAAGGAAATATTAATGCAAGAAATTGCAAGATATTTTTTCCGTCGTTGTTCCCAGCAAAATTTTGAATTTTATGAAGGCCATTGGCCTTTATGGCAAATTGTAAAATGAAAACGTACTATTTAAATTTTTATTGTTACTTTTAAGAGTTGTTTTAAATTACAAATATATTTACACTGAATTTAAATATTTTAACATTTTAGCATTTTAGAAACAATTAGTTAACCAATCGTGCAGCAAAATTTTGCGAAAGTAAACAACTTGTGTTTCGCGCGCTCATATAACCTTAGCAGTTGCGAGCGCCGTAAAACCCTATACTAATACAATAGACCATAGTTCCGCTGCGAGAGAGGGCTCCTATCGGGCGTTCGGTGCACCCCACAGAGCATCCTCCATTACTTTTAATCTCCTTGATCCGATTGCCTCAGCACTAGGCTACCGACGCCACTTGATAAAAGTGTGGCAGGGAGGTCAAAGTCCAGTTGGCAGTGATTGAAGTGGCCGAGAATAACTACGGGCATCACAGGATCGGGATAAACGATTTCCTGGTGGAAAAGAGTGTGCCAAAGACATCACTTTCCTTTGCTGGGGTGGAAAGTAAGTTACGTTGTAATCATGCCGGTGAATTCACGGAGTAGATAGTAAGATCTAACACTAACCGACAGAAGTTCTTTTGTTCACAGGCAATCTTTTACGGGCACATGTTCTTGCGTGCCAACCTCTCGTTTACGAATAGGCAAACGCCACCACTCCTTGTGTTTCCAGCAGTCGACGAAACAATACGTGGGGAAGATAAAAAAAAACAGGACCTAACAGTGACGTCCCCAGCCCACCACAATACAAACAAGTCATAAAAAGATCATTCTTCAAGGATCAGTATAGGCATGAAGAAAGGGAAGCAGAAACAAAAGAAGTAACGAACAGTCTGCATCACTAAGGGGTGTGCAAAACCTTAAGCACTGAGTATTCTGGTACACAGATCGTGAACACGGCGCCCCCAAGACTCTACACAAGGTCTCAGCGTACAAGAAGAAGACATTTCTAACATTTAGTAATAATGGAGTACACTTACAAAACCTGCTAAGTCAAGTTATGTTATCTTCCTTAGCATGATCCAGACATCTGCGCTTATCCCACTGATAGTTCCAGTTTGAGATCCTATTTAAATTGCGTTATCACTTGTCATGGAGAAATCGGAACTGCGTTTTAACATCCGAAGGAAAGCACTGTCAAATCTTGTAAAGTCACCATAGCTGATGGTGAAGCGTAATAGCATTATGTTTCATTCGTCACTATGAACCGTCGAACCTTTTGGCCGGTTCAGAGTCAAGTTTCGTTTTTTCAACCAACAATGCAAAGAAATCTCCAAATGGCTTTTCCTAGAATTTTTTTTCAACCATTATACTGTTTGTAACATGTAGTAGCAAGTAAAGTGGGTCTTGGACCAAACACCTTCACCCATTGAACAACAGGGCCGGTTTATAAAATATTGCTAAAACCTGCAAAGTATCCATCTCATTATGAAAGCTGCAACATCAAAACTTAGCAATACCAAATAATACCTGAACCTGGGTACCTGGAGGTGTTATCTCTGACTCAAAGTTTGACATGTATTGAACCTCCATCCTTCACGCTCGCGAGCTGCCGTTGCACTTTCTGCTATATCCAGGCCTGTCCATGTTCTTATGGTGTTTTATCCATGTCATTCTTTGCTTTCCTCTGGTTCTCCTGCCCTATCTTTCCTCCTCTTTCAAAATGGTTTCGTGTCGTTTTAAGTGGCCAAAGTATTATATTTTTCTACATTTTATTTTATTCAGCAGGGTTTGTATTGTGTGTAGAATCTGACACACCTCATTGTTTGTCTTTTTTGTTTTCTGACTTATCCTGGGCATTCTCGGTAGCACCACATCTCAAACGCATATATTTTTTCTCTCTTTCCTTGTCAAAGCCCAGGTCTCTGTACCATATTGGAATATGAGGAAGATATAGCTTTCCAGCATTTTCTTCTTTTTTAAAGTGAGAGATAGTTGCCTGAATAGTCTGTACATTTGGCTGAATCGTGTTATTGCAGTTGCTGATCTTACGTTTATTTCTTTTTCACTTCTTCCATCATCTGTGATTGTTGACCCTAGATACTTGAATTGGTGCATTTGTTCGATTCTTTCCCCATCTATGGTTGTTGTTTTTCCAGAAGTTTTTGATAAGACAATTATTTTTTTTATGGAGTTCGTGTCGAGACCTGCCTTGCTGTTGTTCATTTTTACTACTTTCACAATTTTAGAAAGATTTTTGTTCGTGTTTGCAAGCAGAACTGTTTCATCTGCGTATCTCAGGTTGTGGCCCCCAATAGTGACACCCTGCAGCTTTTGAGATTCTCTAAAAATAAACTCTGTATGGGTTGTAAAAAGATACGGAGAGAGGACACAACTTTGTCTTACTCCTCTATGAATTTTTAGTGTATTCTGATATTTCATTTCACTGTCTAATTGCTGCCAACACCTATCTTCTCCAAACACTCAATCAACTTGAAAAAGATCATACTACTAAGCCGTCTCAAAAACCGTGTAAGATATGTCCTAAAAGCCAATATTATTTTCTGTATAGAAAGATTTGTAATTTAAGTGATTTTTTGTCAGTGAGGGTCGATGTGGAGCCGGTGAGCTATTTCCAAGAGCTGTATCATCACACTCACGGTCACATTTCTTGAGAGTCAGTTGTCTCTGAGTTGGTTTGTGTGCTGAAAATTTTAGCACTTGCTAAAATGTTTCGAGAATGCATTTGAATGTGAATTCGGAAATTCGCCCTCAAATCGAAACGTTTCCAAGAAACCTCTCTTCTGACACGAAGCAACCATTTTAAGATGGTATCTGAATATCTGTGACATTTTGAAATCAACCAATAGAAAAGCACGCCAGAGAGCAGAAAGGAGGTAAAAGGAGACAATTTTAGAGAAGAATTTTTTTTTGGGTCACTACTCGGATTCGAACCCAGGACCTTTGAATGAGAAGTCAACACCTCAACCTCTAGGCCACGAGATC